TGCCAAAACAAATTTAGAAATAGTTCTACAGCCACTGCTCTTTATGCTAGCAGCCAGTCACCATGCAGCAGGCTATGGAACTGAAGTAAGTGGGCAGTAAACTATGGGCTTGGGGAAAGAAAGGGGAGACCAAGAGTTTAACTTGCTTTTTTGCTAGTTTGTCCCACCTACTCAGACAGCCGATCTACTCTGAGCCTGTCAGACCACAGTCTATTTGACAGCAAGGAGACCGATTTTCCTCCATCTTTGGATAAGGACCAACCCTATGGCTCTTGACTGCTGGAGTATCATTGAGAAAGCACCTCCCTAAGGATCAGCATCTCTCATTTGAGAGCTGGAACAGGTCTACAGCTATGCTAAAAGCAGGGGTTCGCTTACCTCTGTCCCCATCCTGAGTCCCCCTGCCCAACTGCTCTGGTTCACGAACACTACAGGAGACATGTAAGAGCCTACAACTGGCTCCAGCCCACAGACGTTGTTGTTTATACCTGCGCTCTTCTAGAAAGGGATTTGAGTGCACGCAGTTCTTTCCAGGAAAGAGTTCACTTGGGTTTAGTGTTTCTTCCCTGAATATCCTCCTTGCTCTTTCAACCATAGTGCTCAAGTGCCCTGCATTCTGTGGGGGAGTTAGTCCCATCCACAATAACAAACATCAGCAGCTGCTGTGTGTTATTTAAAAGGAGGAGCAGGATCCTTCCCTGATGGCCATTAAAAACAGGTATGTGTTAGTTTCCTCACTTTGTTTCCATGATCTCTTGCCAAAAGCAAACTCTGCCAACACTCAACTGAAAGGAAAGCTCCATTGCAACAGAATATGCTTCTGCTCCAAAACAGCACAGGAGGTGCCAGCTTGCTCTGAAGAAACAAATGGTCCTTGGAGCAGAAAGAGCCTCACAAGCCACCATTGTCTATTTTCCTCTCCAAGGCATAGTTTCTACTTAATCCTTTAGAAAGATGGCTGTACTTGGTTATTTCAAATCAACTAAAGCAGTGCTCCCCCAGAGGAGCACCCCCTCCGAGACGCTCGCTCCCACTTGCATTCAGAAATGCACCATGGCCAAATGCCTTCTATTCAGAAAGACTCAACATAGCAGCTGCTGCTTTCATGCAGGACTCCTGCTCAGAGCAGGGGAGTTAATGAAGGGCTTATTTCCACAAGCGTCGGAGATGATTTTAGGCTAGTGGAATAAGCCAAGCAATTTGGGACAATGAAGCCTTCCCCACTCCATTCTGCCTATTCTCTTACAGCACCTGTAGGCAATTAAGTCTCCGTGCCCATGCAAGGCCTCAGTGGAAGTCTGCTAATGCTCTACTGCATTGGCACACGGAGGGCAATTTCAGTTCTGAAGCCCTGAGACTGAGCTATATGAAGGGCAACAGGCCCAATGACTTCACTCTCCCCCCTTCCCTGCCACCACAGCCATTAGGAGTAACACATGAATAAGGTGAAACAGCTGTGAGCCAGTTACAGGAAGGCTGCAATGCAAATCCCCCTTCAGTTATTCCTTGCTGTTTACCTGTTTCCCAGCAACTGTCAAGAAGGAGAATAATACTATGCTCCATTTTCACAAGCTGCCCCAGCCCTGAACCCTTGAAAAGGTAACAAGGCAGAAGGCAGTTGGTACTACTCTCTATCAGCGAGTGTACTGTAACCCAACAACACCCCAGCAAAGTGTAAGAGGGGAAAATCAGGGACAATGGTCTTTAATCCTACAATGACTTCCACTGGTCAGCGAAGCAGCTAGAGTCCTCCAGAAAATAAGCAGGCAACTGGCTCTTGTCATCTTGGCAAGGGACCCTGCCTTTTGTTGCAGGGAATTTGTTTTTGTTTTTTTGCTTAAACTGGCTACTGCATTAGTTAAATTAACTTTACAATTGCTGGACCAAAGTGCACACTGCCAGGTAATCAGCTCAGCAAATAAGCATTACATCACCAAGCATCTTGGACTGAAGTGCCCAATAGTGGTTGGAAGATGAGTCAAATACTGGCCCATGGTTGAACACCAGGGGAGCAGACTTTCCATCATTAACTGATTTTAAGAGTCAGCAAAATTGCTCTCTCCCCAGAGGAACTCAAAACCTGGCCCCAAGCCGCTCTCAGAAGTGAAGAGGAAGGTGACCAGGTAGGGTAGAGACTGGCATTGGTTTTGCTTCACTAGACAGGCCCTTCCATTGTTGTCACAGTTGGGATTTTGCTCTTTGGGAACATGCAGCCATATTTTGCAAAACATGCTGCTTCCTGGGGACGAAGCCAGCCTTGCAGGGCCTTTTCAGTACCCTCCCCATGTGCCACGACAGAGGTGCAGCTTAGTGCTATGTGAGAGAGGCACAGGGAAGGTCAGAGGAGATGCAATTTAAAAAGCTGTCAGTGGCAGAGAGAAAGATCAAAGTGATTGATGAAAATGGAGCAATCAGTTTATGGGAGTTGCTAACGGGTTAATGCAAGCTGGCTGAAAGACTTCTCAAACCATGCCCCATAAGCAGAGAGGCTATTTTGATGCTTAGTGTAAACCTCATTGAGAAGTCATCAGGCTATTAACCATCACTCTTCCTGACAGGGACAGGGCTGCACATTCTGGCTGCTACAGCATGAGCACCTCTATTAAAAATCCTTCCCACTGTGCCTGACTGCAATCCTCCACTGCTGGAAGAGGATAAGAGAGCACTAAACTTGTGCTTTGCTTTCTTCCTCAGAAGCCCCAGGCCTGAAAAGGGGCGGGGTGCATTTCCAGGATGTGACTCAGTATGAATTTCTGGTAATACCTACTAAGAATCATTCACGCTCTGTAGGTTTGTACGTGAAATTCCCACAGGTTTGACTCATACATGGAAGAACTGCAGATTTATTAATATAAGCTCTAGAGCTCAGAATGGACTCCAAGTGCTAGCTACGCCCAAAATGTGATTAAACAGCAGGGTCTGCCCTATGACAGCAGCAGCATGCTCTTGAATACCAACTGCTCCTACTTAAGCAAAAGCCAAGAAAAGAGACAGACATGTGGAACTCACTCACCTCCCGCCTCTCAGCCTGAGGGAACCTGCAGCTTAGAAGCACTCAAGCACTTTTAACTAGAAAATCATTTGCCTTTTATTTGAAGACAATTGAGGTAGTTCCAGGACTTCAAGTGATTTCCTTCTCGTTTTTGCAGTAACCTGTTCTACCTGAATATTTCCTTCCTACTGTGTAGACCTGCCACACAAACACAAGGTGGGCATTTAACACCACTGGGTGAAAGAAAGCAAAGCATAAAAAAAGCCTGTTTTTTAGATAAAGAGCAGAGCCCTAAATGGGTGTCCCTTTGAACATTCCCTTTCCGGTTATTCTTTCACTGCAAAAGTAACGGCAACCGGTATGTGGGGTTAGTCTGAGCCAAGCACATGCAGCCACACTGCAAAGCTATACTTCATTTACCGGGCATGTTCATCCAATGGCTCTTTGCATTAAGTTAAACTGAACCATTCTGCCATTTTTCAGTGAACTGATGGAAGTTTTGTCTTGTCCCAAGTATGTGGAAAGAGACTGGTGGATTCAGTAGATGAGTGAGTTAGCCTAGAGTAAATTACCTGGCAAAGTACAGACACAGACTTTAGCTTTTAATTCCCAGGAGAAACCAATCAGCTCGGGTGTAAACCATTACTATATTTGATGAAAAGGCTGTATAGGTGCATGCGTAGGAGCTGGGTTAAAGGTAACACTCCAGGAAACTGCATTGTAAAAATATTGCTGAGTGACGCCTAGTTTAACAAACTGGAAGCGTCATTACAATCCACGATTGTTACATATTTGAACTATACACAGCAAGCAACACCTTCAGAGAATCAGAAAGAACCAAGCTAAATGTTAAGAGAAGGTAACAAGTGTGTGCTTGTGCATGTTAAAGGTGTTTTTTATCTGAAGGCATCATTACATCTTATGGTGAACAGCACAGTCATATGCGACCAATACTCTACTTTAGCACTGGTATGCAAAACGATGTTGCAATAGCCTCCTGCTTTATGTAGTAATAATGTATGGCTAGACAAAAACATCTGCTGTGCATCAGTATAGATGCAGACAAGGGAGGGACTTCAATGGAAAGCTTCCAAGTCATTCAGTACAAACTCAGGGGTGAACTTTCTAAATTAAAGGGAGTTAATTGGAAGACATTCTTAGTATATGCACATTTTTCTTACTTAAAGGAATTCTGCTAAGTAATCTTTGCAGATAGCGAAAGTTTAGCCACCTCCTGAGTTGCATGCAGCCTCTTCTCAACGTGTACATACAATGTTCCTCCAAAATATCTACCTGTTGCCATTTAAAATACTCCTCCACTATGACAGCAATGGAAGAGGGAAACATGTTTAATCTATGAACGCCAATATCCCACCTACTTCAAAGAACTAAGATTCAATAAAACAAAACTAGTTTACCCTCCATCAAAAGTAACTGATATATCAGTAAGCCCAGGCAATGTTACTAGAGGGGTGGGAAATACTAACATGAACAGAAGCAGCCAAGAACCAAGAACCCATCTTAAGCATTCTCCCTTGCTGCCCTTTTCAAAAGGCAAGAATTACCAAAAGGACAAATAAAGCCTTTTGAATGCACAAGAATTATTTAAAATATATATTTGAAATTAGTAAACTTTCAAAATAGCCTGCCTATCCCAACTTAGTTACCCATATTAACTCTTGAAGCAGTTTATTAATTCTGTTGTCATTTTTACAAAAGAGAATGATCATTCATATCTGGAGAATCCCATCAGGAAAGACAGCTCTCTTCCCATACAACGTATTAGCTACTATTTTAGAAGAGTGACCATCTTTTATAGCAAGACTGAGAACTCAGCGTCATTACTAAGGGTACATAGGATATCCTACAATCCTGGAATAACTCAGTAACAGCAATAAAAGATCTTTCCCACTAATAAAATATGCAGTATGACCAAAACTTTGCTACAGCATGAAGTGTCTAAAAAAGGCTAATATACAAAACACCATTTACACAATAGGCATCTGGCAGCATTTTCAGACATTTTTTTAATTTATTCTGACATGCTATAAAGGAATAAATTACACTGTTAAAGAATTACCAGCAATAAAAGTACTTCTTGCTTTTAGCTGGACTAGAGTAAGTGAGAAGTAAGACAGCCTGGGGCAGTAGCCAATATGAACACTGCACGGTGGGAGGCTGTCAGAAGAACAAGAGTTAATCTGATCATATCCACTTCACAAGAACTTGAAAGAAAATGCCTTGGTTTAAAACCATCCAAACACTTCCATTCTCATTTTTCAAAAACTAATACATCGCAAGTCAGTCCAGCCGATGCAAGACAATGGCAACGTTTGCGGGTTGCCGAGAGTAGGTCTGCAGAAGATGCCATTTCATTTTAAATCCACCAATCTCTTGTTTCTGAGGGTTGGGTACCAATGCAGAAGGTTATAAAAAAAATGCAAGACTGCCCTTCCCCCTCAAGGAAAAAAAAAAAATACAAAAATTTATTTAAAAACAAAAAGGTGAGGAAGAGTTACAACACTAAGTCTAAAATGATTTTGAAAGAGACATCTCTTGCTTAACAAATGACCTTGAAATTGTTCGTTTAAAAAATTGGGGTGGTGTTGATTTCTTAGACTGAATTAACAAGGCAAATTAAAAAAATTCTCATTTCCTTACAGAAACAGTTTTTAGTTTTTAATGAACTTGCAAACAAAAAAGCTCCCGCTTCAAAATAAAAACAAAATCCCAGATCATATAGATGTTTACAGTGATTACATATATCTAAGCAACTTACATACAGGTTCAGTTGTAAGATGTTAACTAAATTTGTGACAAATATGTTGTTTTTCCTTTTATACCAAGAACATTATAGAGTTAATGCAGAGTCCTAAAGATTATCTAGTAGTCGCTAAGTTTCTCTTAAGTCTTCACTTTAGATGCTGTTATTTCTAGCACAGGTAAGCAGGCAGAGTCTTTCGTATGCTTAAAAACTGGAATCTTTGGTTACTACCATGTCAGCTGGCTTGATATGTTGCACATAGAAGCCAACAGCTTTAAGAATGTTTTAAGTGTACAGCTTTCAAAACCCAGGGAGGAATAACCAGAAAAAAAAAGAAAAAAAAAAAAAGAGTGCACAATTGTGAGCATTTACAATTATCACAACTGTTGCTGAAGACTGTTCATGCCATTCTTCCAAAACAATGAGATCTCAAAGCAGTGTAGTTCAAAGTAAAAAGGTAACAAAAATTGGCATATGCACAATTTTCTCCACCACTTGCGTGTCAACCATTTAGTTAACTTTTCCACTTGAAAAAATGCAATAGAAAACTGGACACCATGTTTCACTATCTCAGTAATATTCACAATTACAGCTGCTACAACTCAGGGTGCAGCATCACTGACACCGCCCAGAGCCAGTTTATACTGAAATTAAGTTCTTTACACCAAGTAAATGGTTGCCCACAACCACTGGCAAGTGTACGTATGAACTAGAATTTCTAGGATTTGGGGAGTGACAAGTCCTGCTCCAATCTGCTCTGCTTTGTCCATCCTCTCTTCATGCTCAGAAACCTGCAAGATAAACACAAGGGCAATTTACTGATATTTGAAAAGAGAAGAGAAACAGCCTCCACCTGCAGGGGGACAGGGTTGTACACCAATCATTAGGGCTACTGACAGGGAATATGCTGTACCATTTTGGAGGCGAGTCCCCATTTTCCTTTTATAGTGTTAAACATGGTCCGACTGATCACTGCTTTTAGTCAACTTTTAGCTCACCTCCACACACCATATATTTGCACTGTCCTTGCTATAAAAAAAATAAATAAAAGAGCCTTGCACATTGCATTAATGAAAAGTCTCTCAAACAAGGATTCAGACAAGCTCTTCTTTCGTCACTAGAAAGGATTGTGCAATTTCCCAGAACTGTTTTCTACTTGTCTAACGCCAAGTGTGTCTCAATGTCACAAGCAGTCATGTAACTGCTGTGCACGTTACCCTTTTGAAGAGCATCAAGAGCAGAGCAATGTTCATGCGTCTGAGATCAGACCTTTTAGCTCATGAGCCTTTTTGGAGGAGCACAATGGGAAGAAGAGGTTCATTGCCTCTTTTCTCTTCAACCAAAGTCCAAAGAGGAATAAATTCCAACATTACAGGGAAAGGAAGGAGCTTTTGACAAATCTCAAAGAACCAATTATTCTAAAGGCGCATCCATTTTTCCTTCAAATTACTGTCTGCATATTCTACTCTTGGTGGCACAAGCAGAAACCTTTTGCTCTGAGCAGATGCTTCAAATCTTTGCCAAAGCAAGTGCCTTTTGTGGATGCCCTCTTAATGGAACAGTATGTTTGTGAACATATGAACAGAACCTTTAAGAGGCCATTCCACCGGTTTTCATCAGTGGAGTTATTTCTAAAGCAAGCTACAGATACATAATGACCTTTCATTTGGTCACCAGGTGCATCAAAACTTAAATATTTGGTAACAGCCCAATACATTCCAAAATCCACCTGGATAACCTATGGGGAGAACAGCTTAGTTTCATCCAGAAATGAAGCTTTTTGACCATATGAAGGTAGATCCTCAGAAGTGCTACCATTAGATTTAGCAAAAGAAAACAAAAGTAAATGAACAGTATGGTTAAAAACTAAAGAAAACAAAGAATTTTGGATTCAGCCAGGCCTCATCCAAGGTTTCTCAGATTTTTTTTCCCCCCCCACAAGTTGAGAACAGCAGATCCATTATAAACAAAGTTTACATTTCTCCCACTTAGACGCCAAATAACCAATATTTTCATGCAAATATGGTGTAATGAACATGCAGCTAATGGTTAAAATGGAGAACCTAGACCAGGTAATAGAATTCCCCCACAGTGGGTTTAACATGTGATTCTAACTCAAGGGTATTAAATTCACCAAGGACCCCAGACACACAGGTTTCCTAGTTAGATAGATCCAGGCTGGCCATGGGATGGTAGCTGTGGCCACTGCAGTGCCAGGTAGCTGCTTGTTGTGGTGGAGGCACACAAATCAGTGAGCCAGGTGGCTGCAGTGCCAAGGGCTTGCTGCATAGCCCTTGCTTGCCCATCAGCCAAAGGCCATATCCACAGGGCCCTAAATTCTGCAGCAGGCCATGTCCACTGCTGGCCACAGCCTCAACTTCTTCTGACAGCTTGCCAATACCCCAGCTTTTGAGACAGCTCCATGGGTCAGACCCAGCTCAGGCTACATTTTTGACATCCTTGCTCTAATTGAATCCGATAGATGTACTAATACTAGTTCTAGAACGTGAAAACAAGACACAGAGTCTACAAATAGGAAGAAATATGTATTAGTCCTAACCCAACAACCAGGCAATTTTAGGAAAGAAAGCAAAGCCAAAATTAACAGGCTACAGGCAGTCCTCGGCTTACAATGTTTCGCACTTACAACGTTTATAAATTGACACCGTTTCAACTTTATGACGTCAGTTTTGACTTTACAACGCTTGATCTGATGCAATACCACGCCAGCAAACAAGCTCGCTGCATCGCTCATCTCCCTGGAGAACATGTCTAAACTTCCTTGAACACTTTCTTTAAGAAAGCAGACAAGACTCCAGAAAAACCTGTAGCCAAGACTCCTGGGAGACTCTACCCAAGAACCCTTCAAGAAGTCCAAACAAGAGCCTTTCAAAAAGTCCAGCAAAGTCACCTCGAAGAAGTCCTTCCAGATCAACGATTGCTATTTGCAATATAAATACATTAATGTAGCTATATTACTCACATATAATCGAGTACAAAATTCTGGGGTATTTTGGTGAAAATAGGGTATTGGGCCTTGGTTCAGGAACCAATCCCCCATTTATACCATTGTTTATGAGAAAATTGGTTCCGAGTTACAACATTTCAACTGAAGACGCAGTTTTCAGGAACCAATCGTGTCGCAAGTCCAAGGACTGCCTATATTTGCAAAGAGGATAGGCAATACTCTGCCCAAATGGTAAGCAGGATAGTTTGATTTAAATCAACTTCATTTCAATTAGTAAGGCAAAGCCTGATATTGATCAACTAAAATCACTGATACCAAGCAACTCTCCCACTGTAGTTTTTTTGGTTTTAAAGAAAGGTGTATTTCATGGGTTGATACAGCATGTTGATTTGTAATCAAATACAGTTTTTACAGTAGATTTGCTATGTTTCCTAGGTACGCAAATTACGTATACCATATAATTAAAAAAAATGCAGCTCAACATATTATTTGGTTCATTAAATATCCTGTAGTTTAATATGCTATTAAGTGGTGAAATATTTCATATTCACTATGCAACTACAATGTTGTTCATATTTGTATCAAGCTGCATTAAGATGGCAACTTCAATTTAGTTAGCACACACAAGATCAGCACTACACATTTATTAAACAAAGTATTGTTTTGTATACAGAAACTTTTAAAAAATCAAACCATAGTCCACGTTTACAACTAAATTTATTAAAAGTTAGTATTAGCTGTTATAGTATTAGAAATGTGAACTGCAGTTAGTAAATCAAACAAATTCTTTCAGATGACCCTGGGGGAAATTGTCTAAAAATGCCTAGGTGAAAATCATTTGAGTTTACATCTCCTACTCACCCAATTCTCTTTAACAAAGCGGTTTAAAAAATTTGGCTTCGGCCATTTTGAAAATCCCCCCACCACAAGACATCTTTCAAGTTTTCAAAACTCAAATCTCACTCTTGTTCCAGGTGTTTGCCAGTGACGTCCACCAGTTAAGGGGTGGGACTTTCTTTAAAACATCTTCAGCAAACATGTGCTGCTTGAATGGTTCAACCTCTAGCCCTAAAATTTGTTATGGCTGATCAGTAGATGCTCATGTCAAAACAGCATTTTCTTCTTTGGCGTGCTTAACCTAAAGTACCAGGGTAGATGCCTGTTGTCAAGAAACCAAGGTGGAGCAAGTGCTTGACCCATCCGCTTCTTTACTGCCAGCAATTTAATTTTGCTATTGGGTATTTCTTGCTTAAAAGAGGTTCTTCAAGGTCTTTCCAAATTTCAACAGCATCTGCAATACAGCAGCAGTAGTTTGTCTAAGGCTGTGGACATAGAAGAGGCACTGAATATACCAAAACCTACATTTCTCTTTAGTCCAATGTTGAACTACTCTAGCTATGATACTTCCATCAATTTTACCATGATTTTCTTCACAGATGGTCATCAAACTAGGCCAGTTCTTAATAAGTAGCTCAAAGCAGTCAGCCACTGAATTCTATCACACATCTTAGGAGAGAATTGGCTTGGATTCTCCAGCTCTCTTAGTGAAGCTGAAGCAAATTGGTTGTTATAGGACGTATTCTGCCATTTCAATTTTTTTCTTTATTCTTGGAGCACTTAAATCTTTGGCTATAAGATGCATACAATTAACAGTGTACTCAGTAAGTTTTAGGTGTGCTTCATTTTCCTCTAAATTTCTTCTCATCTTTGCTACATTTGCAGGATTATCTGTGACAAGGCAACACACATGATGCTTAAATCTTTGCTCAGATTGCTATAGCTTTTACTGTTACTTCTTTAAAATATTTTGCATCACAGGCTTTTCCTGAGGTATCAATTATTTCCGAGATAAACAGTCCCATCTTCTGCTGGGACACAAGCACATATTGCTGGATCACAGCAAGCACTGCTCCATCCAGCAAGACTTAAATTATCACTTCTTCCTGCAATGTTTTTTGCACATTGTTAGTGTATGAGAAGGGAAACTATATCAGAAGCCTTACAGCATCTGCTCTGGTGGGTGAAGTGTAACCTGCTGGTAATGACTGAACCATGTCAGTGAAGTTTTTGTTCTGAACAAGACTAGAGAGAACGTGTTGCATAAATGAACCGAGCAATCTTTTCATCTATGTGGTCCTACTGCACTTTGCTGGTCCTAATTATGCCCTCATCCATAGTTTTACTTGGTAATGAACAAGCTCTTTTTGGATACAGGTAATTCACCGTCTGAGGCATGTTTAGTTGCAGGACTCTTGGTGGTACCAGTAGAGGATTCCTAAGTTGCAGATGATGGATGTTCTTAGGTCTAAGATGGACCTTGAAACAAAATGGTTAAAAAAAAAAAAAGTCACTCACACTGAATACTACTGAGACTGTAATGTGATAAGTGAAAAAATCCCTCCCCACAGCACATTTTTTAACCTGTGATTAAACAATATATATTTTCAAAGTGAATTCTATAGGGAAAATATTCACTAAATCATAAAGGTTATCTTCTTCTACTTAAACCCTTTTCTTTACCAATATAGAACAGCTTGATTTTAAAATTCATAAATGCCTATTAAACTGTATTCTGCATAAGATCTCTTTACCTAGGACTGGTGTATTTGTTTACACTGAACAGTAAGACTCATTTCAGAAGTGCAGGGCTAATATTACAAATGTATAATTTACAAAAACTCCCCAAAACTGGCACATCCATTAGATTTTGAACATAACCTTTTCGAAATTCGTAAGTAACCCACCCAAAATAATTAACATCGTCATACGTTTATAATTTACTAACACTGCTATATGGCAGGTAACACACAGGAATGATTCAAA